CACATGAGTGGGAGTCATGAACATCGAGTTATCATATCTATCCCATTGATTCAACACAGCCTGCCCCCGGGGAAGGTTCATTACATCTCTGCGCCACTATGTCACCAGCTATGAAGTGAGTGTAAAAGTACCTATTCAGCCATTCGCGGGGATTGGCTGGCTAGGATTTACATAACACTTTGAACGATGACAGGAGAGAGGTAAGTCAGAGCATGAACGCCAAAACGATGGATACAGCAAATTGGCAGGAGTTAGTGTTTGTAAATAATGACCTCACTGTTGCTCAAGGAACATCCCCGCGGCTTCTGAAGCACATAAAAGCCCTCCCTTCCCTGCTCTTACTCCTTTGGCTTCGCTTCTCCTCATCTGCCCATGTAAGTGGACTACAAAGATCTTTAATATTGATGGAAAAAATGCATGCTACACAAGGATGCTTTGCAATCAAAGCCTGCATGCATCCTGCAGCTTAACTCAGCACCTGAGCACCCTGGCTAGGGTCTATCTTCAACACAGAAATATTAGCAGTGCGCAGAATGTGTTGGGAATTTCAGGGAGAATTGGTAAATGCAGGACCATTGGTATGTGAAAGGACTGAGGGTCATGTGGCTACGTAAAGGCTCTGTCCAAAAATGCTTGAAAGGAAGGACAAGGTTTGTTGACTAGATGTGGTACCTTTTATTAGACCAACGGAGTAGTTGGAAAAAAGTTCTTAGCAAGCTTTCAGGTGCAATTACCTTTCTTCAGGCATAAGAAGTCAACCTTTGGGGAATCAAGGCAGTATTTATAACAACTTCTCTCTCAGGTGAATCCACAGTGGTGGAAAGCTCAAGACAGGAGCCAAGAAAGCTGTGGCAATCCCTAGAAAACAGGTTTCAGGGCTCATGTGAGGTCATGGGTTTTAGCGTAAGAAAGGCTTTCTATGAATGCTAGAGGATGGGGAAATGGGAAGCAGCGGTGCACCTGAGCTTCTGGTGGCAAATCAACTGTCTGTTTTATTTCAGTTTTTCCTGCCCTGCAGAAAGATGTACAGCCCTGGACACTATACAGCGTTCTGCCATGGACCTTCAGGGTCATGCCTTGGAAAGGGGGGACCCTACAGCTGCGGACAGACTTTCTGTTCTGGGATTCAGCATAGTCAAGGAGACTCTAGATCATCCTGCCACAGTTCTGGGCCTCTGTGCCATGGATCTGGACCTTTCGACCAAAAAACATGGCGAAGGCAGCATGTACGCAAGCGCCGTCCAGTGTGGCCGTGCCAGGCACCAGTGCAGAAATGCTGCGCCCCAGCACAACTGCGTTATGCATAAGGGGAAAAGTGCAGCCGCAGCAGGTCAGCAAGGTGCCAACACAGCAGCTAACTAACTAAAGTAACACAGCCAACAGCCCCAAGAACCAAAATGAAATGAAGACCTGCCAGTTTCCTCCCTGTTCATACAGTGACACCTTCAGTGCTAAAGTGTCTCATGTGCCATTTCACAAACTGCAGATTCTTTCCTCGCCAGCGGATTAAAACCAGTTAAATACCTTAAAAATCCAGCTTTGGGTGCTCAAAGATGCAGATAACTACTTAGCACAATATTAAGAAGCATCTCAGCACCTGAAGCCAGCGGGAACAAGGCATGTGGGCAGCTTTCTTTCTCTTTATAGGCACTTTTATAATGCTGTGGAAAATCTGCTCCTGTGTGTCTTGAACATGGTCTAGAGACCCTAGTGCCTGCGTAAATATGAAATGTTCATATCAAGTTCTACTTCTGCTGTATCATGTAAGCTCTTGAGACACAATGTCGTATACTGTATTCTGAGGGTACTCTATTAAGTACTTTCAAATCTCCACTGTTACCCGAGACACAATAAAACTTGCAAAACGTGAGCTGCATTGCTATGCCTTATTTGTTCAGCAGTCATGGATAAAGATAGTTCTTCTGATCCTGCTTTACCCTGCTCCTGCAGTAATATCCTCCTGAAGATCCATTTATGTTGCTAGACAAGAGAGAGGCATTAGTATCATAATACTAACAATAGCAATTAGGGCCAGGCAGAGGGAATTAGACTGGATCCAAAAGGAAACTGCCCAAGAAGCCACCTGGAGATCGTTAACTGGCATGAGGTGCCTGAATCATGGTTTTGTGCCCCACCCAGAGTGCAGCTGCCTAGCAAACATACCCCAAGCCAAAATCCTAGTACTCTGGGGTAATAGAGGTTCACAAAACACTGTCTAATGCCATTTCCTTCATCCCACCACTGGTGATTGAAGGGCTAATAAGAAGCAATTGCTGCAAAGGGGCAGTAAAAGCAGAAGTGACTCTATACAATAAAAAGCTCAGAAAGAAGATTAAGTTCTATTTTCTCCCTATGAATTCAAGAGCAGAACCAGTAAAATTCACCTGAGGTTTGCTTTGCTCACCAAAACACAAATCATCAAAACACTGAAGACATTTTTAAAAAGCCAGAGACATTGTAATATATTTAAATGTCTCAACAAGAATGTTTTTAAGGCTTTTTAAAGCGTTACATTTTGCATTTTTAAAAAGCTGCCCTCGATAAAACTCAGAACTGCGCCTGCCTGGGCTGAGATGATGCGTTGATAGATGCTTGCTCACAACTGAAGTCTGATGACTGATAACATACAAGTAGCCTGAGTTCCACTGCATCATATTATGAATACCATATCCATGAGAGATGAGTCTGTTATAATCCACATGTTTATTAGCTAGTGTTCGTAGCAGTTCATTGGAAAGGTAATTTGTTACATAAATGATTGATAACCATTTCTATGATGAACGTATGTCAGAATGAGCCATGGATTTTACCATGCAAGGAATGCATTTCACTCCACATTAAAGCATGAGATGTGCCCATTTCAAACAGCCTGATCATGTTCGCCAGGGCTTTTCATAGCCCAGCCACTTATTAAAAATGTGACCAAACAAAACAGGAAATTGTTTCCATTTATCATAAAAAAACACATTAACAAAAAATGTCCATTTTCATACAAAGGTTCTGGGTTTGTGTTAGAAGACAAGGTGCCCGCACACAACAACAGTTTCTTGGGTTTTGTTTCTTTGTTCTCAAATTGATTCCTTTCCAGCGGAAAATTACAGATTCCATTCTGTAATTATGGATTGAAAAAGTTAACAAAGAATGGTCAGAGCCTCTACTCTTGACCTGCTCTCAAAGAAACATCCCACTTCCTTACAATCCATCCATCCTAATGCACACCTGAGCACTATACATGGCCTGAGTCAAAGCCCCTTGAAAATAATGGCACCTTTTCCATGAACTTCAGTGATCAAGGCTTTTTGCTGGGACTATTTAATATAGATCAAAGGATTTCAAAGGAAATATCCTTCAGAAATGTACACCACATGCACACATGCATGTCCCAAATAAAGGATTTTTTTTTAATCCACTTTTGTACCCACCAAACCCTCCAAATGGTTAGAAATGTTTAGGTGAAAGTATTTTTGGGGAGCTACAAATAGACTCTGCTGTGATCTAGATAGGACAATCCAGCATCTACTGTACAAGTCCTGCGGTGTTTCAAGACACTTTCAGCTATAAATCAGCTCCAGGAGCACAGCAGCAGCAAGGACAAACTAAAGAATGAATTCAGAAATAATTGGCAAGGGAGAGTGGGGGAAGTGGTAGGTCCTCACAATCAAGGTGATTCTCAACCAGAGTGTGCAGCACCCTAGGGTGCCTTGAGATCCTTTCAAGGGTGTTAGTGTTGTTAGGTGTGCAAACATGATTCACTAGATAAACCTAGAGATTTTAAAGTGGAATCCATAGCATTTGAAACATTATGACCTTCTGTGGTCTTTCCAAGTTCTTTGCAAAAGAAGAAGAATTGCTGTATTATTTTTCTGTAGTCAAAAAAATGAGCAAAAACAAAAAGCTGGCATTTTCCAAGGGGTGCCTCAAGTCTCTGAGGGGTGCCTCGAGCCAGAGAAGGTTAGAAGCACTGTTCTAGATACTCCATGACATAGAAAACACTTCAAGAAAAGCTTCATGGAGGAAAATCCTGACCAGTGAAACCCAATGATACTAAAACCAAGTTTTCTATCATTTACCTATTTCTTCCAGCAGTTCCTGACAAATGATACTGGTCCGCAGGTATCTTAAGGCTAGGCCCACATGGATATTTAGGGCCACCCTCAAGGCCACACTGGCTGACTTCTTTTTATACTGACAACCCTGGAGCTTAATCCCCCAGTGACAGTCCAGCCTGTCCCCACCCCACCATAGCGCAATACTCCCCTGAACATCAAGCCTCCTCCCAGCCCATCAAGTCTCCTCAGGTCAATCCTAAACACCAGCGTAGGCATCCCCTACATATCGTACTGGGATACAGAAACAAAGAGACAGGGGATAGGAAGGGACCCCTCTGCATCACCAAAGCTCAGCCCCTGCCAACTTAGATTGCAGCATCATATGATACCCCCCGAGCCATTTCCAACCGCTGGCCTTACAAATGAGTCAGTAGTTGTCCTTGCTCCAAGAAGCCTGCCTTTTCCAACTGCTGCTTGCCATCCACATGAGCTAGGGTTACTAATGAACATCATCATCTTCATCATTATCATGTGGCATCAAAAGAGATGAGAGCATGGCATCGCATGGCATCACATGCTTCACATGGACTGACTGACATGAGTCATTGGTGGGGAGTCAACTGGGCACTAGTGTCCCTCCAGGGCTCCATCTGGAAGTGGAAAAATAAATGTTTTCTTATCTACCTCACATATCTAATGTCAGGATTAATCAGCTAATACCTTTGATTGTGTGTAGTATTCTTTAATTAAAATATAATTGCTTCTGTTCAGCATCTCCCCATGAGTCAAACAGGGGATGTCGCATGCTGGGGACAGCAGACAGGCAGGAAGATGTTCAGTCAGTAAATAATTAAGTTTTCATTCCTAGTGGGTGCCTCATTAGCATGGAGAGGGCTCAGAACTGTATAAAAACCTTGTACCCCTGCAGTCTTCACACCACTCAGCATCACGGCTGCTCACCTGTCCTCACTACTCAAACAGGTAAATCAAACAGGGTAATTTCTGGCTGGGTGGGTGGATTCCTGTGTTTATTATGTGCAGCTCTTTATTGAGATACACAATTGGCTACTTTACAAGAACTGAGAAGGGAAACCAGGGTGGTTTGCATGGAGAGGAGAGTTTTAATGAGATTGCTTCAGTGGAGACTGGTAGGATGCTCACTGAATGAAGAACCCCAATTTGATATGGCTGGGGAAAAGTATCCCTTTCTCATGGGATTTCCCATGAGAAATCCATTCCCATGTAAAGCCGAGGAGTGGAGGTTAGGCACAGTCTGGTCTTCCTGAAATGGCCTCAAGAATTCCTGTTAGATTTAAGGTTTTCCAGTTAAGAACCACAAGCCTATGCACAAAAAGTGGAGGTGAAAATGCAAGTACCTACCTCTGCTGCCCTTTTCTTTTAGATTTCCAGCACTGCAAAATGACCTGCTCTTCTGGAAGGGAATCATACTTCAACTTGAACTCTACCTGGTACGACCCTTCAGGCTCTTGGCTGGAGAACCACCGCATCCCCTTATGCTACGCTGATGACTCCTGCTGCGGAGGGTGTAACCCTGATGTAAGAGGAGTGGGGGGGCACAACTACCGACCCTGTTGGTATCGGCGGTCAGTCTGCTCTGAGGCAGAGCGTGGGTCTTCAAGTGGATACTGTGGAAGTGAAGACTCTGGCTGTGCCAGGAGGCCAACACTCGGGTACTCAGACGGATGTGGGGGTTATAGAAGGGGACCAGACCGTTGCAATGGAGAGTGCTCATCTCATGAATTTGGGAGGAGACCAACCTACCATTATGCAGCAGATGTGTACCTCGCCAATGAACGCTTAGCCTGTTCCGAGGGGTGCCATGGGTCTTCAGGAGGATTTTATGGGTCTTCAGGAGGATGCCACAGAAGGCGCAGGTGTGGCGAGCCGTGCCACGGTTCTGGATCTTATGGGTCCTCACGAGGATGCCACGGCAGGCGCAGGTCAGTGTGTGGTGAGCCATGCCATGATTCTGGATCTTCCGGCTACCTCCAGCGTGTGTGTGTGAAGCCAGGTCCATGCATACCAAGGTGCCCCCCAAGGCAAAAGTATGTCCGTTCAACACAAAGCTGCTGCATTCCAGTGCAAACCTACTGCGCTCCAGTGCAAGCCTACTGCCCTCCAGTAGGGAAGTACAGCTCAGGCGGACAGCAGTGCAAGCAGACCAGCAAGCTGCCAATACTGAAGGCCAAGTAAGAGATGAGCAAGAGCAGCACAGAGAAGACCACTGTTATGAATTTGAAGAGAGCCCTGTGAGACCACAGAGTTTTGCATGTGTTAAGTTCTTCCCACGTTTCACCAGAGACTATCTTCTAGACCCCTGTTAGTTAAGGCTTGTAACGTGCTTTCAAGATGTCACCGCTGTTCAAGTATTAAGAGATGTATTGCTATTACTTCTCGGGCTATGCAATAGGAATTATTTTCTGCTGGGATCATTTTGGCTGCTACTTTTCTGCTTCAGTCTCTGGTTGTAGAAGTGGAAAAATAAACATTATTCAATCTATAAGACTACCACGGTCTTGGTGTTCCCCATTGCATCTCTTCCCACTACCTGCCCCTCCCTCTGTATTGTTTTTCTCCTATTCTAGGATAATGGAAGTAGGCAAATCCACTTAGGCATCCAGGTTTGTGGTTTGACACTGATGTAAACCCTCACCCCTGTTAACTCACTGCAACAATCCCTTTTTACACAGCCCTGAAAATTGCTTGTCAACCTTCTCTAATCTCCCAGGAAGCAGTTTTTGTTCAGGAAAGATTAACTGTCCTAGAAACTAGAAACTTTGTATGCAAGCCAAGAATTAAGATGCTGCTATGAAGAGTCTGTGTCATTCATTAGACAAACGTTACTCAGGAAATCATTTCAGGAATGCTTATCTCAGTCCTAGTAAAAAAGGCTTCTCATTGTTCCCTTGTCCTCCAGACCTTTTCAATTCACTGTCAGAAGCATCCTGCTACAGGATGCAGCTCCCAAACAGTTTAAATGCAACCCCAGAGAAAAGAGAAGTAGTGGGGCACCGAGTGCAGAGCGAGGGTGGGGCATATGCATCCCGGAAGTCCTATGTCCTGCAGCACTCAGCTGTGTCAAGACTTGGGTTTGCAGCTAGAAGGGTTAGGAAATTTGGCCACCCCTGGTTTATTGCCTCATGGCCAGATCCACATCTTACTGGCATCAGTGATAGGATTCACACTCACTTCAGTGCAGTTGGACCTAAACACTCAGGATCTAAACAGATGTCTTCTCTGAGAGGAAGAGAAGCTATGGCACACAAAAAAAAAAACCCCAGGCGATTATCAGACAATCTAACTAGAACAAACTTTGGAGTTGCTGGACTACTGCAGACAGAGAAAGGGGTTTGGGCAATATTGCCCCATTGACTTCTGCTGTTACCCTCCTACACCCACCAAGAATCTGGCTGGCACAGTCTGTTTTTCCTCTGAGGCTCTCCAAAAACATACTGGAAAGAGGGATTTGGAAAGGGAACACCACAGACAGGGCAAAGCAAGTGGACTTTCAGTGTGAAAGTATGAGTGGGAGCACCCAAAGGAGAGGTGCTCTGATCTACACTCCACAGCTCTGCAGTAAGATCTCTATCATCAGCAACCTCAGCTGATATTCAGCTATGCACAGGGAGGACTATGCTTACCAAAATGCTTGGGCAGCAATAAAGAATCCTCTATCTTATCCAAGGCAGCCTGCTTGAAGAAATTAGGCAGCCCAGATGGCTATTGGTTAGATTAGCCAGAATCCTAGATGTAAAATAAACCTAAATTACAGGATTATACCATGCAGGGGTGTAGGTTGTAGCCGTGTTGGTCTAAGGACATAGGCAGACAAGGTTCCTTGGGTGAATTTGATATCTTTTATTAGACCAACCCAAATAGTTGGAGAATAGTTATTAAGCAAGCTTAATACAAAGAGACTATAAAAAACTTTCTACAGCATTCATCCTACATAAAAAGAAGAAATGGAACAAATTACTCCAAGAACAAGCTCCCCAGCCACAAAACAACCATCAGAGGAA